GTCGGCGTGCTATAGAGTAGGCGGAGATTGATGAGGATTCATACTTCGTGGGCTTATCTCCTTTTCAAATTATTTCTAACTTCCTTGAAATGAGTTGATGAGGTACCTATATTACTTTATTTTGCAGCAAGTAATGTTGAAAACGATATAAGTAATGTTATTATTTTAAAATTAAATTTATATTTTTAGAGTCTGCAAACATAGTAATCTTATATCTGATAAGGAACTTTTGAAAATAGCCTATTAATTAAATTAAATATGTATTCAATAAGAATAATATCATATTATTAATATGTAAGAAGTTAAACTATATTTTTGATTTTTAGCTTCATTAATAATATTTGATTATTATTCATAAATCATTGACATTTATGTTTAGTACCTACTTATGTGTATTGTTGGAATGTACTGCACACAGTAGGTAAAATATGTGATAAACGGTACCTACTAAAATATTGAATACCCTCTACTCCTAACCCACGGCGATTATTCAAATTTGTTTGCTCATTTAAATGTACAAATGTTACCAAAATAAAACTCAGGCTTTTCCTAAAAGTCAACTAAATTTTGCTTTCATGCAGGTCTAAGTGCACAGGAATTCTCCGCAGCACCAGTGTAGTAATGAACTATATTACACAAAATTCTCCAAACGAAAAGTTTTTAAGTATTAATATAGGGTCTTGTCTGTCGTCATGTTCTCGACTCAAGAGTTTTGCCCTATATAATGCATACGCAAACCCTTTTAATTACATGAGAAAGCTGTTTTCGGTGGAAGGTATATAGTTTGGCACAAAAACGAGTACAATCATGGCAGCGTCGTCGTAGTCTTACTACATTGTACGCAATACGCACGTTTTTGTGTGTACAGCAGTGAACAGCAATAATAAGGTTAAGAAGAGGAAAAGTTTCGAGAAGACTTCTGTCTACATAATGCTGTACAACACTTACACACATACACACACACACACAAGCACACACACTGGAAGCGCTAAACGTTCGGAATTCGACGCGCCTCCGGGAAATCCGGGGAACAAAACGAGTTGATCAAGATGAATGGTCGGACCCATCTCGAAGCGACGCAAAAAATATTCATTATACATTGTGCGCCACCATGTATATATAGAAGAGAAAGCCATTTTATTAATAACGATCGAAACCGACGAGGATGTATAATGTATATTATATTTTAAGTGTAGGTATATAGTAGTGTACTACACCTATCTATACCCGTACACACAAATACTATATACTAACTATTATATTATTATATATTATAAATATTATGGTCAGCAGCAAACCCATGTATACGCATTAAAAATTATTGACGACTTCTATTATTGTTATGCCAGCTTACGCCATGTATATAATATAATAATACAAGTCGTGTTATTTGCATTTCGACCCACATTAATATTTATTACACATTATTATTTTATACGCTGGACGAGGCAAAACGAAAAATGACATTTGACGAGTGAAATTGCTCGTAGCTATAGCTTTTAAGTATACCTACTTATATGCGATTGCAAAGTGATGGATTTTCAATCTACAGTATTGTGTACTACGTCATACCAAATCTATACATGTATATATGTATATATAATACAGTTTGACCGCGTCAATATCGTTTGTTACATTTGCAGGTATATATGCGACAGCATCAGATTTAGGTGTAGGCAATGGGCATCATGCTGCTGGTTTAAATACAGACTGAATACAGAGTCACCGACCAGTTTCTCGATCGATAGCGTACAAATATATATATATGTAATATAATATAATAGCGCGGTGGAATTACGATGATATGATTTAAACACCCGAGGCGTGGATTTTTTTTTTGCCAAAGTGGTTCACTCTCTAAAACGTCGGGTGCACATGTACAATTATAATATATTACATATTATACACAAATATATATATATATATGTATGTATACGACCCGACAACCGTCTGCGCTATACTTTGCTGCAGCATAAGCACCTGCTCTCAGTGTGTACAAAAATATTGTAACGTGCAGAGCTCTACTGCTGCAATAATCGCTGAAATATCGCAATAATATGGGTGTTGAAACAAAAAGAAATGTACGCTCAAAGCGCCTATAGGTATACCTTTTTTTGCAGACAAGAGAATTAACTATTTTATACATTGTTTCAGTGGCACCGAGAGGAAAACACGGAGTCGAGCCTTTATACTTCGAAAAAAGAAAATTTATTTTTCGATCCCCCCATCGGCTGAGTTGTTTAACAAGCTATTGAACTCGTATTTTGCGCGCCACGGGGACGAACGAATGACAATCGTAATAGATATAATTGGTAACTGAATTCCCGGTGACGCGACCGTATTGTAACGTAAGATGCACCGGTCGCGCCGGGGGAATGATAATTCAAACGTAATTGTCACCCGAAGGGCAAAAGTTTCGTCGCGGGCGAGAAGGGAGGTCGGAAAAAAAGGGTCGAATTCGACACACGTCTGCCGCGAGCCGCAGTCGTTCTCTGTCTGAAACTTTCATTCTACTACGCTGCCGCAGTTATTGCGCGATTTACGCAGTTACGCGGATATAGAAAAAAACCCACAAAAAACAAATTATACGTTATTATTTTTTAGTGCTGCGACGTAGGTTACCAGTACTAACCACCCGGCGGCGGGGGAGGAACAAAAAGAAAAGAAAACCTTTTATCGTTTTTTAGCAGAGCAGTAGGAGGCGCACCTACACGCCGCCGACCTTTAACGAACATCCGCTTGTCAATTACGATCAGTTAGCAACTCGAATGCGCGGAATACGCGTACAACAAATGAACGACCGGCGGAGAAAAGGGTTCGGACGTGAAAAGTGAACAGTGGATAAATCATTAATCATTTCGTCGTCATCGTCATCGTCGCTTTTCTCGGCGTGGATGGTAGCGGCGTTTAAAACTCGGCGGCGCTGGCTGCAATTGCTCGTTCAGAGCTATAGGGTATTATAATATTGACAACGCGAGATACCGTGGTATCAAAACTATACTTATCATCGCAGCTGTAGTCTTCTATCTAGCACACGCGTATATACAATTATAATAATATGCCATAACACTCTGTCCAATGGAACCGACTTATTCGATTTTAATTTAAGTAGTATTATATTTATAAACGTGATAATGCAATTAGATTTAAAATAATTTACATCTATATCCAATAAGTCCATTAAGTCTTTTGCTTGAACGTTAATACTAGAACTATTAATGATATTATTAAAAATATGTATGAACGAAACTGGATTGACGGATAAAATTAATATTACGTCGATTACTTTTGGTTTAAATAAAATGTAAAATGGATGTAAAATATTCATCACTATTGACTCGAGCTCAAATGACAATATTATTATTATTATTATTACTTCAGTTCGTCCTACTCATTTGAATGATAAAATTAATTCAAATTCAGATATAGAGATGTTGAGAATGGAAAACACAAATATACATACATGTATAATACGCCTTAATAATTAATAATAAATATATTGTATTATAATTTATAATACTTGTGAATTATGAGCTACGTAATTTAATAATGCATTAATCTTTGATACGGACATTGTTTCTAAAATAAACTTTATATTGATTTTGAAACGTATATAACTGCACTTGTACATATATTATTATGTGGCATATGCCATACATCGCTTCAAAATAATTATAATAACAATTTATTGTTAAAGGGCCCGCTTATTGCGTCTTTTTGTCTTGGCAGTAACGTAGATTGACCTCTGCGACAGAAATAACTGTAAGCTATAAAGACGACTAGGGAATATTTGGCATGGACAAAAAGAATATGAATAATTTCATGGTGTACTTTCATTGATATTTTTCTACTTATATTACATGCTAGTTTATTACCCCGCATCAATGTATACATCGTACGTATAAAAAATGACTTACTAGTTTAATCTTGGAGTAGTTCTATCTCGTACATTATATTATAACACAATTTAATGACAATAAATAATGACCGTTAGACTTAAAATGTATCAAGTACCGAAGTTTTATGTTATTTTTCATTTCTATATTTTGTGTGGATTTAAATTTAATAGGACTTACTGATCTACATTATAATATACACGTTTTATATTGTTATTTCATTTGTTTCTACATATTATTATATATTTTATATTATTGTGTCATCTGTACAATATTTTAAGATTAATTTAACACACGAACAGTCGTTTTAAAGTAGAAAATATAATCGGTTAACACGTTAGACTTAAAAATATATTATCCGAAAACTGCGGGGGACGACACACGCGCACATTTAAGTCGTATCGTAATTATTTCGTGGGTAACGGAATCTGTCAACACGGGATTATGAATGAACGAAAGGGGTGTAGTAGTTGTAGCAGTAGATACTACCATCATCAGTATGTCATATATATTATATACGTTAAACCTATACGGCTATACTAGTAGTCAGCCACGAGTTTTTATTTACTTTTTTCACAACTTTAGTCAGAATAAGCCTCTGCAGGGTGGTGAAGAACAAGGGGAAAAGGGCGTTGTTTTGGGTATAAAAAAAACAAAACGGTTTTTTCTCTCAATTTGTTTTTCCCCCGGCCATTAGAGGTACTCGCGCGTATACAAAAATAAAACACTGCTTCCGCCGTTTAAATCCGAAATCCATGCCAACTGTTGTGCCTGTACGTTCGGGGTCGAATTCCACTATATCGCTGTCCTTAACTGGTTTATATAGTGGTGAATATTAATGTGCGAGCATATACGCACCCGCGCTAAGGAGACACATGGTGAAAGGATTGGTGTGGCGTCGTCTATATTTACAGGTGACGGGCGGGGAAGGGTTGAGAAGACGCACGTATATATGAAACGAGGAGCAAAAAAAAACCAGCGATGGAATTAATAAATGTCCTCCGGTATGAGATTAATACAAGTCCCCCGGGGAAGTCTATATAGGGAGAGGAATATCTCCGCACTGCTGTTATAAAAACGGCAAACCAAAAATAAACGTCTTACCTGTTCGTTCATGTTATGTCGGACTGTATTGAACGACTCCGACAGTCATAGTCATATTGTACGCTACAATGAATGACGCTCGTGTTTGTAATATAGCGTGATTCTCGATAGTGGGCAAAGCCTGAAAAACAAATTTTTAACAATGTCAACATAATATACACATATAACCGTATGTCAACTTATATTCGACATATAAATCTAACGTTTGCTATTGATTTTATAAATTAACTTAAAATATGCTATTCACACATCATGGCTTTATGATTTGTCAAAAAATTATTTTAATATGTTTAACACAGGTCATATTATTATGTATTCATAATATAATATTATGAATTTAATGGTATAATAATTATATATTATATTACATTATAATATTATACATGTATTTCCATGAAGTGCCATCGGTAGGTGGCTTATTCTTTTTCGAGACAACTAAGACAACATAAACCCCTATAATATCATAATAAATATATTATAGATGTGTAATGCACTAATTAATATTGCATAAATAATAAATTGAATATTTAAAATATATATAATAGGCATATAATATCATATTAAGACTTTATTATTATTACCTATATATTCAATAAAATTAACATTTAACTTTTATTTTATCGCAGAGTTTTAATAATTAGTATTTGTGCTTTATTGGATCGTTTTACTCTCAATAACTCATGGTAACCCGTAGTGCTCGTGCAGTTGAAGAACTTCCAGCGGAATTAATATTACATAATGAACGGCAACCAACATAACATAACTTTTAAATTCCGATTATCGTATAGGATTAAGATAAAGGTTTAAACTAAAAATGATTACTTATTCAAAAACCGGTGAATTTGAAGTGGCTCTACAATAATTTTTAATATGTCCGCATAAAGTGTATAATTAAAAAAAAATTTAAGTTCCAGTAAATGAAATTACAGTGCTTAAACAATTTTATATTTTGCATTAATTTAACAATATTTTAATAGAGCTATTGCCTATATAAACTCAAATTGAAAAACAAAACTACAAATACACTCACATTTGTACAGATCTAAAAACTAAAAACTATATTTAAAATAAATTATTGAAACTACTTGTACTAGCTGATATAAATGAAATAATGTAATATGTACATATTTTTAAATATAACATTTTTCAGTTCAAAACTAAAAACTTATTAGAGATAAATCGATTTTCCAAATATTGTTCAGTTGAATTTAATTTGGATTCGTATTTGATAGGTATATACGACCGGATAACTATACATTATTTCAATCTTTAAAAAAAAACTCTGTATCAAATAACATAATTTACATTTTATTAATCATAAATGTCTTTGAATTAAGTACGTCACATGTTGTTAAGAGGAAAACACATAAGTCGATTAAACCACTGTACAATAATATATTATTATAATAACTGTGGACACTGAATTCGAAACTAACAATTGCCTACGCATTAGTGCAATGGTGTAGAAATAGGGTGGCGTGGGTGGTTATAAACGCCGAACAACTAATAATTATATCATAATGTATTTTTATGGACGTCTTGTAATTAAAATAAAACGAAATAAATAATAACTTAAATAACTTCTGAAGTCAAATTACACTGCACGTGGGAAGCGAAGACGCGCACGCATATTTGCAGTGTACGGAAAATATTTTTTGGATAAACTTATTCAATAATAATTTATTTTATTATATAATATAACATCTTCGGTAAATCAATCGTTGAAGAAGAATACAACAAGTACCTTAAAAAAATCACCGCCAACACTTCTATTAGGTATAAGTATAAAATGATAAAGGCGTGTCTGGACAACTTAAAATAATATTATGTATAAATATTTGTTTTTTTATTGAAACGTATAAAATAGAACTCGCAAAAATTATAAATTGCCATAGAAAAGATGTATTGAAATATTACTTGACATATTATTATGTAATAATTTAAAGTGTACATATCGCTTTGTGTACATTGACGGGATCAAAATTCCTAGAATCAAAAATTTAATTTAAATTTAAATTAAAGAAATACATTACATATGTATACTTTTGGTATACCTAATCGGAGAAGTGTATAAACCTAGTTAACAAAATATTCATTTGGAAAAATGAAACTTTACGTCAAAACACTCGTAATGGCTTATTAAAAATATTTCGACTGACTTAAATTTTCTAGGTATAGCGATACGAATTCGATCTCGTTAATCCAGCATAAATATAATATTATAATCCCGGCTTAGTAAAAAATATCCATTCCACTGTTCACATATTATACCGTATGCGGCGGCACATATGGGTTACCCAACGACGTACGTAATACGACTCGTTGTGTAGGTTAAGATAATAATAACACGAATATATTATTATTGTAACATATATAGGTATGTGGTTTTTTTTTTTTTGTTAAAATCCGACGATTTCAACGATATAATTCGTTTGATTAAAACGTAAGTGAGGAAAAAACGTGTCATCCGTCCAGAACAATCGCATACGTTATATCGGATCCCGTATACGAGTTTTATTATACAGGTAGAGGGAGCGGGAGATGAGATAAAGCGATGATGCAAACACGTATAATATAATAATAATAATAATAATAATAATAATAATAATAATATAATATGAAAGTGTCCTGCGCCGGACGATGAGCCGCTCGTTTATTATATATACAGGTACCTACCAATATATGTACATGACTTACTGCTCGGCGGCGTTGTGCGACGGCGGGGGAGGTGTAAATCACGATTTGACGATAAAAATCGACGGACGATTAATAATCGATTTTTTCCAATCTAAAATGACTACCGAAAAATAATCGGCGACCGCAACGAGCGATCCTTTCGCTTCGCGAGGTGGATTCCCATGGATATCGGTAAAAAAACGATAGGTAGGTATGCCGCCATAATATTGTAATGTTAAATACATATATATATATATAATTAGATAATATTATCATCATCACAGAGACACACAACTATAGTGCAGAACTGCACATTATATATTATGTATAAGACATTTATCACAATCGTTGAGAATTAAATATAGGTAATCGAAAACAAAATAATACAGAGAGCATGTCTTATTATTATAATACTAAGTAGTAAGTAATAACATGACAATAATAATAATAATAATATGTAACACGCGTTTCGTGCGTTTATAATAATATAATATATCGTATGATGTGATGCGTGTTGTTTCATAATATGAGGCAGTTGCCACGAAAATGTAACGACTTGTTATATTATTTATTGCGTTTCGCGTGTATAATAGACCTTTATCCTTGTTGTAAAGCAAGGCACGCATAATAATAATAATATAACAGTGCAGAAGAATATTGTATTATATTATTATTGTTATTATTATTATAGTGGTTGTTGTACGAGATGATCTAGTCGTTATAATAGAACGGGGCTCATTAAAAACAAGAGGAAAAAAAACAATATAATATAATCGGCGTGCCGCTTGTATATTATATATTATTATTTATTATTATTAATGTGTTGCTCGGCACGCGTGTAGCATATATACCTACGATATGTTATTTTCGATAAAAAATTAATAAATAAAAAATATATACACCCGTAGTCCATCGTCGATTATGACGTTATGCATTATTATAGAATACTAAATTATCCGTATTCCATCGTATCGTATATTACATATTTATGTAGGTACGCTCCGTAGCTATATCACGATATATATAGATGTTATAAAGCATTATGATAAAAGGCGTACCTATACGTTATAATACTACTACTACTACTACTACTACTACTACTACTACTACTACTACTACTACTACTACTACTAATAATAATAATAATAATAATAAGCAATAATACGTTGGTATAAATAAATAAATAACTGCGATGCCCACACGCGTCCTCCCGATCGCGGCGACGAATGCTGCAGCGTCGGTCGGATGCTGCGCTGCTGCTGCTGCTGCTGCAACCCAAGACGGCGGCGGCGGCTAATGGCTCAATCTGCGCGCACATTGTAAATCAATTAACTCGTGTTCGACGTTTATATATTCTACGAGAGTAGTTTTTGTACATATTTTGCTCGCGATTATTATTCCTTGAGAATTCCGTATATAATAATAATATTATCGCCGTACGTACAGCGCGGGTACCTATATTGTATATATATATATAATATAATATAATACCTACATAAAATACGTGGTGCGCATTCACTTCATTTCTGCAGTTCGTTATTGTGATTATTATTATTACACTGTTATTATATTATCAATGTAGCAGATGCTCCTCGTCCAGTGCGATACAAACAACAACGATGATCGCCGTCTACGTCCGAGTAGACGGGTAAAAAAATGGTTATAATATTATATATCGGTGTAATATATATTATATACCTACGCGCGTGGTAACTAACTATAATACTATATAAATGTTATATCGCTATCGCCGTACCGTGTTATTAAAAATGCATCACAACCGCAGAATTTATATTATGTACACACATACATATAATATTAATACTGTATATACAATAGCGTAGGTATATGGTTTCCAAGTCATATGGACCGTATTTCGCTTGATTTTCCCAACGATAATAATAATAATATTATACTATTTGGCTATTATAAATATATAATTACGCCGACCCGAGGACGACGATGTGTACAATAATGGTATCATTGTACCTACGTGATATACAATATAAATATGACGAAAACAGTGGCGTCCTATAAATAATATGTAGAGAGAATATAATATTATAGATTTCGTCTCACGGACCTAATGTCACCTATCGACGGCTGACGTGGATAATGATGACCACGCACGAGAACTCCAAATCAACTCACGGGTCTCTCGAAATCATGATGCTATAACGAGAAGTAGTTTTTTTCCATCGTATATACATACAGGCGAGCGCGTTCACTCGCAATAACATCATTTCTACTATATGTATAGTAAAAATTGACTGCTATATCGGTTTAGAGCTGCACTGATGCAGACGACGACGACGACATTACCCGGTGAGAGTAGCATAATACAATAATACATACCTACACAGGTATGTTATTAAAATAATTTAATATATTATATCATACAAAATTTCGAACAAAATCACTTGTGGGGGAAAACAAATTGAAAAC